AACAAATAAAACATCATTCCCAACTGACAGGATGACTTATTTCTTTATATATCAGCAAACGATTATTTTTTTCGTGCCCAAAATAGAGCTGCCAAAAATAATGGAGGAAATGAATTGTCTTAGGGAATTGAGACTCGGCTTCTTATCAACACTTTTGTGCTGAATGTGAATAATAGATAACTCATAACAGATTTGAATATAGAAAGAAATTTAATACTAAGTGTTCATCCGGAGAGAGCTGTATGTTAGAGGATGCTGATAATAAACTATTACAGGACCTGCCTGTGGGCGAACACAAAAAGTTAAATTTTGGGTGGTGTGTCCACAGAGGGTTTATTTTTAATTTTTTCATTATTCTTAAGTATATCTGTGTATCATGCTTGTGTATCTCTGGTACCTACGCTTGTAAACAGCAAGTCAAGGTTTTGACTGTTACATAAAAAACAAGTACAACAAGGAAAACTGTATGTACTCTGCTCTAACTTTATATCTTAGCTTTAACGAGAAATTAGTTCATATTTAAATTAATCTCCCAAATCTTGTTTCTGACCCTCCAAACCAATCTGTTTCCCAGATTTTCTTTTCCAAAGAGTTTCTGTTTCTCTACAGGAGTCACAGATGCCTAAGAATTTAATTTACTTGCCCTTTTATGCCACTCATGTGGGCCTCAATGACAGTGTTGACAGCCGCTGGTCACCTAATCATCCATGGAAGAAATTTGCTACTGTTATGGTCAATCGTGGGGGTGGCACTTTGTAACCCAGAAGTCTTTGGAAAAGGCAGTTATGGCAGAGGAGTAGAAAAAATCTATGCTGAGGATTTTTTTCATTTCCACAGTTTGTGACAGACAGTAGAGGTCCCTAATTATGTGTTAACCTTCTACCCTAGGATGTATGAATGCTACTTTACAAAAGAATAAGACTTTACAAATGGGATTGCGATTACAGACCTTCAGAGTAAGGGCCTTATTTCATGCATCCTTATGCAGCTGAGGTCTGAGTCGAAGTATGATACAACAAGGGAAATAAGGCAGAACTACATGGTGTTGCTGACTTTGAAGGTACAGAGTTGAAGCTGGAGAAGGCACAGAAATATATTCCATCCTAGAAGATTCCTCCTTAGAGCCATTGGGAATACAGCCTGTGAACCTCTTGATTTTACTCAGTTCCACCCATATTTGACTCCTGACCTATAGAAATACAAAACAATTTATATTATTTTAATCCCTTAACTTAAAGATCATTTGATACAGTAGCAGTAGGACTGCATGGCTATCATAAGGCAGCATTTGGCCTCCTTTTCTTCACAATCATGTGGGTGGCTCAAGTAGACTACACCACCTACTGCTGTCGTGCGGCCTCAGTGTCTGAGGTCAGCCAACAAGGCAAGGCGAGGGTGGTGAGCAGCCCCTTCTTCCCTGGTCAGTGTTTGGAGACTGATGGGGCTGTCAGCCAGTATGTGACAGTCCTTTCTAGCTATTCATCTCATTCCCCAGAAGGCAAGAGTAACAGTGAGGTGGCCGACTGACAGGAGGAGCAAATATTTCATTTCAAACTCAGTATTACGTTTTACCCTTTACTTTTTAAAATCTTTTTTGAGATTTTCATACAAGAATATACTTTATTTAAATTGTTTCAATTCTTCTTTCTCTAACCCCTCCAACTCTTTACCTTGCATTTTTAATGCTAAAACCAATTATTTATTTATTTATTTATTTATTTATTTAGTGGCTGAGTTAGTTTAGTTAGTTAGTTAGTTAGTTAGTTAGTTAGTTAGTTAGTTTTTGGTCTTTTGTGACAGGATCTACCTGTAGCCCCAGCTGGCCTGGAACATATTACATAGACCAGGCTTATCTGAATCTCACAGATTCACCTGCCTCTGCCTCTGCCTCCCAAGTGCTAGGATTAAAGGCATGTGCCACAATGCCAGAACTAAAATTAGTCTTTAATTATCCAATGTTTATGTTCTTATTAGCAGCTAAGGTGCCCTTTCTGAAACCTTTTCAGTGGCACCATACACCCAGAGTCTCTGTAGTATTTACACTGTATCATTTAAATTTTTTAATTATTTTTATTTTATGTGTATGAGTGTTTTGCTTGTGTGTATATAAGTGCAACATATGCATGCAGTGCCTGTGAAAGTCAGAAGAGGGCATTGGATTCCCTGGAACTGGAGTTTCATAAACCTGGGAACTGAACCCAGGTTTTCTGTAAGAGCAGTCAGTGCTCTTAATGGTTAAGCCATCTCTCCAGCTCCATGCTGTGTCCTTTTAAGACACAACTTTTCAAGTTGTGGGTTGTTCTACAGTGATAGATAATCCAGACAGGATAATCACTCTCTGGTTTACTTCTACCCTAGTGTTGCAGTACCACATTAATGTGCAGGCCTACCAATTGCAGTGTTTCCCCAAGAAGCAACAAGTCTGTCCAACATGCACAAGTTCTATGCAAACTCAAACCAGACAAAAACCCAGCACAGAACTGGGAAAATGGGTAAGAAGCTCCAGTCTTAGCTGAGGAACTACTGGCAGCTAATTACTACTGGGTGAGGGAGAGTTGCTCTTCCTTAAGGGAGTGACACTAGAAAGGATGACCAGGTTCCAGTGGATGAACTCACACTGAGGGACATCTGGATACACAAACTTGACTCAATAAGCCTTAATACATATAACAGAATGCATGAAATCCAGTGGGCTATGGGGCAGGTGCAGATTGGAGGGGCATCTAAATATGATTAAAATGTTTTGTATGAAATGCATAAAATTCAAGAAAAATATATATTGTAAAATGAAAGCTACATTCAAAAACAATATTTGTAAATTCTGTCCAGACCCTCCTCAGGGAGCGTCCCTCCAGCAGTCACATGACACAAATGTTTCCCCTACTCCTGGTTTTCAATCTCTCTCTCTTCTCTCTCTCTCTCTCTCTCTCTCTCTCTCTCTCTCTCTCTCTCTCTCTCCCCCCCTGTCTGTTGGCATATCTTTTCCATTAATCCATCTCTGTGCTGGTTGGCTTCAGTTTTCAACTTGTTGCTTTTGGAAAGAGGGAACCTCATTAGAGGAATTTCCTCTATCAGATTGGCCTGTGGCCATGTCTCTGAGACATTTTCTTAATTGGTAATTGATGCAGGAGGGCCTAGACCACTGTGGGTGGGCTGTCTCTGGCCAGGTGAGCCTGGGTTGTATAAGGAAGGAAACAGAACAAGTCAGGAGGAAGCAAGCCAGTAAGCAGTATTCAGCCTTTGTCTCTGCTTCATTCCTACCTCCAGATTCCAGCCTTCAGTTCCTACTTGACTGCCCACAAAGATGGGCTGTGCCCTGGAAGTATAAGATGAAATAAGCCCTTTCCTCCCCCAGTTGGTTTTGGTCAGTGTTTTGTCACAGAAACAGAAAGCAAACTAGGATAGTCTCACTGAATAATTTTTCTGCCTTCCAATTCCCATGGCCATAAGCATGACAGTGACATATATTTGGACATAAATGATTGTTTATTGAGTTTAATGTATATCTAACATTGATTTCTTATAGCAGATACAGTAACACCAAAGACAAAAGAATGAAAGTTCAAAAGGTGAGGAATAATTACAACCTTAAAAATAGTCCCTGAAAAAACAATATTGGCACAGCACATTTCCATATAGTCTCTTTCCATCTTTGCCAAATATCCTTAATCTAAGTGACAACCACATCACATTAAATGCTTTCCATCTTAACTTTTCAGAAAGGAAAATTATTTCTACAGAATGTTAGTCACTTTCTAAAATGCTCAGCACATGAACGTTCAACCAAATTTTCAACCCAGGTTATCTAACATATTTCAATAGTTTTTTTTTTTTTAATGGTAAAAAGATACGAGTTTATAACATCTTATAAAAACTACCATTTAAAAGTGATCTTGTTCATTAGATAGTCCCCTCCCCCATAGCAAAATAAGTATATTAAAAAAAAAAAAAGTGGAGCAAGGTAGGAGGGGATTGACGATAAAAGCCCCAGTGCCATAGCAGAGGCAGCACATGCCTGAGGGAAAGGCATAAACCCTGTGGTGGGACTCCACTCATCTAACACTCCAATGTCAAGCCATGGGGCACAATCAGTAGCTAAGTGACGAAAAGAAACTGCTAGGGGTCGACGGAGATGGGGCACTGGGGAAGGGCAAGATTGGTAGGGTCTGGTGAATAAGCCCATTGGAACACAGGCAGAACTGATACTCTTCCCCAGCTCCCCAAATTCACATCTTTGTCTCTGAGCACCTGTCCTATCTCCATTTCCCCTCAATGCACACCTGAGGGATCCCCAGTGCTAGCCCCACCCCTGAGAAGTGGGGCATCAGGCCCAGGAACCTTTGCAGCTGTCTGTGGTTTCCCTGGGGTAGAGATGTGGCTCCTGAGCCCTTTGAGTGTTCAACTGATCTTTACCTCATAGCCTGTCTATCCTCATACCCACTGGCCCTGAAAAAGTGGACCACTGCTGGCTCCGGAACTTCCCACACCCAGGCCTTGGCAGGGTGATAGTTCTAGTTGGGCCATCTATACACACAATTCTTTCCCTCCCAGTTTATACCCAGGCAGGAAGCCAAGATCTGCAGGGCCTACTCTGACCAGTACACATTCACATATGTAGAGACACAGGTTACTTATGTAACTCTCTCCCCACATACAGATCACCTGCAAGTGGCATGGAGGGGTCCCACTTTCAGAAGCACTTTTGGGAGGATATCTTTCTTAATGTATCCTCTTTCCCAGAGTTGAATGATAAGAAAATCCCAGCCCCAGCAGAACCCTTGAAGAGGAAAGGGGCTGGTTTACATGCAGAAAGATGTCCCTGCTTGCAGGGGCCACAGTGGATCTAAAGACTGAGGTACAGGTTCTAGAGCATATCAAATGAGTTACAGCACAAAGCTAGAACATGTGGCAGTAAACATTCCTAGCTCCCCCCACCAAGGCTCTCAGATACCACCAGAGAAAAGCTAAAGGGTGCCACATCTCACTTTTTCCCTGGTGTCCTCCTTCCCTACAGGTATGGAGTACCCTCCTTATACAATGGAAGAGGCTACAGCCAACAGTTACAGCTGGGTGCTCAGGCTCAGTCTCCATGATAACACCTGAGGCAACCCCCCATCCCTATCCCTATCCCTAGGGTCTGGGCAGGCAACCAGGGGTGAGATGGTGCTCAATCAAACCCCAGAACCTCCCTTAAGGATCCTTTCTTTAGCAGGAAGAAGAGTTTCACTTTAGAAACTACATGTTCACAAGTGTTGGCTTAGAAACATCCTAACCAGTAGACTGAAATCAATCTTAAAAACAAAAAGCCACTCCTGGAACAAAGCCCCTCTGCTCCTTTCTCAGTCACCTCTGGGGCACAGGCCCCCTTCAGGTCTGTTGGGAAGGCTATGTTATACTCACTGTCCTCTTATTGATGACCAAATAAATCTGATTCACTAATTTGCCATCCCCTCCAAGCAAACATACACAAACACAAATCACAGAAACAGACCTGATCACTTTTTCAGGGGTGCACAGGATGGGGGGTATTGGAGCAGAGCAAGGATAAGAATAAAGCAGACACATTAGGGGTCTTCTTGCAGTCCTTCCTCTGTCGTATCCCTCCTCCCCATTGGGTAGGTAGGGTCATCAAGGAGGAAACCAAGATCATGTTCTTTGGGACAAAAGCCCAGACCTCCATCTCCTCTACCTGAATACAGTCACAAGACATGGGCGTGGGCAGGAAGAAAGGCCTATCATTCAACACTCAAGCAAGGGCCATTAAGTTCCTTTGTTCCTCAAACAGTTGTAGTTCTAAGAGGGCACAAGGGGACAGCCCATTCTGACACCAGAACTCCCTACTCAACACTGCTGTCTGGCTTTTGGAGTCAAGAACAGTGAGGTAGCCACAAACCATAACCAAGACCAACTGCCCAGAGAAAAAGGGCTACCCAGGCCACCCCACCCAAGTTTCCTCCAAAAGGCACTTGGGCTGACCTCATCAGGCACCAGTATGGTATGGGCCGAGATAACACCCCTGGGCACAACACTGCTCTTCTTGAAGAGATAAAAGGTATACTTGGGTCCAGCCCACGTGTTTCTCCCACTGTTTTTCCTTATGTCCCTACAGTGTATAGGAAAGCTAAGTAAGCTCAGCTGCCATCCCTGGTCCTGTTTTTCAAACAGGAGGTAAGATGCAGGGCTGTGGAACATTGAGGATCTACTGTAACTAAAAACTCAAATTTGCGGAAAGGCTGGTCCAGCTCTAAGTCCCTGTTTTAGACAAGGACTTTATGCCACCAGATTACCTGTATCCACAGTTTACCTGCTGAAATTGCTTTTGGATAAACAAAAACAAGAGCGAACAAACAAATCCCCTCCCCCCAATCTTTTCCATTTCAGCTGCCAGTTCAAGTCGAAGGTTGTGGGAACCACACGTCAGTCTTGGTCCTGTACCTTGAGTCCCCACCTATGACCTCAGCCAAGAGTCCAGGGACTAGCTCCCCTGCCCAGGAATGCTGTAACAACTTCCCCGAGATACTCATAGTCACAGACTATACACAGAGCTGAGGCTCTGGAGCCACTTTCTTCTGGTCTCCTGGGTCCACTCCTTTAGGAAGGGGGACAGGTTCAGAGGGGGCGGTGGTGGGACCATCAGAGCAGAGGGGTATGCTCTTCGGTAAATTTTTCTGATCACTCCCACCACCCAGGACCCCTTGTGCCTATAGAGAAAACTGCCCATCAGAAGTCTTGGACTGGCATCCTTGGCACATCCGTTTGTGTCTGAGTAATCGATCTGTCGGAGAAAAACACTGATGACATCGTTCACACTGGTAAGGCTTTTCACCACTGTGCACACGCTTGTGGCGTTCCAGGTGGTACTTCTGGATGAAGCGCATATCACATATATCACACTCAAATGGTTTCTCACCCGTATGAATAAGGATGTGCCTCTTGAGGTGGTAACTGCTCCTAAAGGCTCCAAAGCAGTGTTCACAAATAAAATTTTTGGGAATCTTTACTTGAAAAGAACCATTTTGTTCCACTACCACCACCTTTTTAACAGTCTTTTTTGAATGAGAGGCCTCAGCCAAGCTGTCATCATCTTTGCGGTTCCTGGATTTATCACTGTCTTTTCAGTGGCCCTGACTCGAGCACCTCAGCACATCAGGGCTACCTGCCCGCTCGCCATTCTCGGCCTGCTTGCTGGCAATCTGGCTCAGCATCATCTTCTTGCTGGCTGCAGTGGGAACCAAACTCACACCTGCTAGGCCTTCACAAGCCAGAAGACTTGCCTCCTTCATTTGATTGGAAGCTCCCTGAAGGCAGGGGCTGTGGCCTGTCTCCTTTCCTTCCTCTAGATCTCCCCCTGGCGCTTAATACAGAGCTCGGCTCACTGGGGATGGTCAATATTGTTGACTAAGGCAGCATTCAAGAGTGACATTGCAAACAGGCTTCCCAGTGAATGATCTTGAAGGAGGACTCTAGAGCTTTTTACCTGAGCCATGCTGATAATTCACTTAATGAACCCAAAAGTTCAGGAGTTCTTTATCCAGTTTTCCTTAACACACTGTTATTTGAAGAACTGTCACCAAATCACAGTAATGGCTCCTTCCTGTCCTTTCAGTCCATTTGCCATATTGAACTGCCTTTGTCTTCCGAAAGAATTTAGTGTCCTCCAAAGGGAAACCAGGTGTTTCAAGAATCCGTGGTCTCTGACTGACTTCTGCCTATTGTCTGAAGACGAGAGTGTGCCAGTCTTGGTTTTCCAGTTGAATTCTTTTGATGAAGCTCTAGGTCTGTTCCAGAAACCTGCCGTGCACGGCCCCCCGCCGTCTCCCCACCGCGAGGCGCCTCCTCCAGGCAGCAGCGCACCGTGCCAAGCACGCGGCCGCGCTGCCCCCGACAGGACCGAGGCAAGTTTACAAACACCAACCCCGGGCCCGTTTCCCCGGACTCAATAGTTTTTTTCTGACATTTTTTTTCTTGATTAAACTTCACCAAAATGTTAAATAGACATTCATCAATAAATATACCATTTAGGATCATGGATTTTCACTAAAACGTAAGTTCTAGATGTATACCAAAGCAAGTGAAATTGCTTTTAACCATTTCATAAAGTATCAACATTACAGATTCTTACCAGAAACTTCAACCTTTAACTCTTTGCAGTACCTTGTGAAGAGCTAGGGAAGGAGAAATTTCATTTACAGAACAATTTAATAAGAAGCTCTTTATTTACTTTAGTTGGAATGCCAAAATTATAGTCTTTGTTAGAGTCTAGAAGAAAAAAGTTGCTCCTTTCAGAACCTAGAAACAAACTCTCTTCCCCTTATAAAGAAGGGTCTTGTCCTATATTCCCCCATCTTTGGCCGTTCAGTCTGAGTCTGCATGGGTGTACCACAGAGTCATAGGTGGGCTGGTAGCATCCCAGTCTTAGTCTTAGTCCTTACCTTTCCCTTTGACTAGTTACCTCACTTCCTTCACTCAGCCTTTAATTTTATGTTTTATATCAAAAATCTATAGAAATCAACAATTATCATAGCACATTAAATAAAATTAATTGTAAAGCCCATTTAATAGTCAAATCATCCATCTTTCTTTTCTAGCTTACTCTGATATCAAAACTTGGTAAAAACTAATGCATATTTGGTAGTCAGCATATAAAACTATTGTTACTATTTCATTGGTATACTTATTTCCTAAAAGTACTAAATATTGGCTTTTGTGGCTACAGCCATTATTTACTTCATCTCAAATCAAAAGAGTTGCTCATAAGGATATCTGAAAGGAAGAATCGGCCTATGTTCAGAAGGCAACAACAGACTTTACTGGTTGCCCATATAGTTTACAAACACTCAAATAGTTTCCTGTAAATATATTAAAGAAATGAACTTTTGAGGACAAGAGCTATAATTGTGTTGTTGTAGGACTTTGAAGCACCTTTGGTGACTTGTTCATCATTAGGGACCTATCAAGATCAATTGGTTTCAAAGTGAACCTCATAGAGCTCTAAGATTTAACTGGTTGCCTATGATTATTTAGTTCGTCTATCTGGCTTTCATGACAAATGTACTGAAAATTATTTTAGTGTGGACATACATCATACTTAAATATTCTATTTATTAGCCATTAACTCATTGAACTACTTTAGAAGGATGTTAGACCCTGAATATAAACATTTTATCTGTTAATGAATCTGCCTACCATATTTGTATGCATATACATTTATGTGAATATATATGCAAATTCATGTGTGTGACTTTGTGTGTGTGTGTGTGTGTGTGTGTGTGTGTATTCAGTAAGAGAACCGAAATATTATAGGTCCATTGTAGCACACACTAAAATATCCTGATGTGTTTTTCTTAGGGAAAATGTCATTCTCTAAAGACTGTTAAGTAAATAATGCGGTCAATGTTTATTTTAAAAATGAATTTTAACCACTATAAAATACCTATTTGTATTCTGTGAGAATCCCACACATGAATACTGTATTTACACCATTTCCACCCCTCTGTTTCCCCTCCCCAACTCTTCCCATGCCTGCCTCAGTGCCTCCCAATTTTGCGACCTCTTCTTTATTGTTGAGTAGCCATTGATTGCTTGCAGTTCTTTATGCAGATGTGAGACTTAATGAAAACTCGCCTACCCATGTTGGCATGTCAGCTGGTAAAATGCCTATTTTTAAGATCACATTTTTTAGTTGGTAGTTTCATTCACATTTGGACTGATTTTTCCTATTTTGTTTCTATTTTATTTTCTTCTGAATGGCCAGTATACAGAAGCAGAGTAAAACATAGTGAATGAGTATGTACATTCACTGAACACCAATAAATTGTAGTTATAATACAAGTTTTCAATAAAAATTCTTCTACTAGTTCACAATGAAGACCCTTTCTGAGGACACAGTTAAGGCAAAAGAATTAGGTGTGGCAGTGTCATTATCCTTACTTATTACCTTAATACTCTGAGAAGTCTCAGTAATAATAAATGCAATTGTCAGTCTTGTCAGTGTTTCTCTGACCACGGTCATCATCGTAATTTGACATCTCCAGGACACATATTTCCCTCAAATCTAAATTAAGCTTTTAATGAATTATCTGTCTTCTGTAGTTAACATGTGAAATCATGTCAGCCAGATCCTTATATTTAATCCATTTTCATCCATGTAATAGTGGAGTAAATTTCTAATTAATTTTTTTAAATATGTAGGTAGATTTAAGTAATTCTAATGACTTTAATTCATTTTGAAGTAATTTTCCAGCCTATGTCTTAAAGGAAATATTTAGCAGGTCTTTTTGAAAACCTTACTATTAACTAAGTGGAAATATTCTCAACATACTTCATTATGTACAAAAACTCTTAAAAGTGACCTGAATAAAAATGACTTCTTAATATTAAGTAATATTGTCTCTCATATTTACATATTTCTTTAATATATTTACATACAACTATCAAATAATTGTTCTGGTTATGATTAGATTTGAACTTTTGCTTGTCTTTCAGATAATATAAAATGACTTCTAAGGCAATTTTTCAAGTATTTATCCTATCTGATTGTATGCACACATGGTTGACATTTGATGAATACTAATAACACCTCAAAGAAGCTAAGAATTGGATCTCATTCATTCTGGGTATTACTGGCTTCTATATAATGATTGAAAAGCTTGGTTTTTTCCCCTCAATTTTCCCTATAAGAGGAACATTATAGTTTCCATCCCAATCAAGATGCTGTGTTTACTAGCATCAATAATTTTAATCATTGCCTTTACAGATGATTCACCCAGCTCTTGCTTTAAAGGTAATGACTGCTGATGTTGGTAAGGAATAACTCAACCTGATTCTTCAACTGCCCATATGATTGTTGGCTCTGGTTTTCTGAAATGTCAACACTCAAGAAATAAATCATACTCAAATCTCAACAGTCTAGACGGATTTGGAGATGGTGTGCCAGCATGCAAGGACAGAACATGTAAAATGTCTTCATGTCCCCATGAGGACCGTGAATTATCCTTGGATGTGGCCTGATCTCCCATAAACAAAAGCGTAGAAAAGTCTCAAAGTTCCTATGCACATCTGTATCTTATATGTTTCCATGGCATCAAATGCCATCGCTGAAGGCTTTGATGACCCCATCATGCATATGATGCAGATAGTGAAGAAACATCTTGCAGCTTTGTTTGTAAAAGATGAGTGTCTGATTATACCAGATAGATTCTCTAAAATGAAAAGAAAAACTTAGAAAATGTGGAAAATTACCTATATACAAATTTTCATTCTAGACTGAATTAAAATTTGCATGAAATTTCTCTTTAAGCCTCTGAGAAAATCATATATGTTTCCATCCAAAAGTAAGTTTATCATTATCAGTCCTGTGATATTGATTAATAACAAGTTGATTGTATAGATTTTGAGGACTGCAAAATATCAAATCCCAATAGCCTAACTTACTTCCTATGTTTTAAAAACAGGTACTAAAGTTAACTTTCTTAAGTATCATTAAATATATAAAATTATTTAACATTTCCCCTTGTATCAATTGAGTAGTCAAAAGGGTTTAATTTCCAAAGTTGTCTTATGCTGATAATTCTTTTTTTAAATATTTTATTTATTTTTTATTTCACATTTATGAGTGTATTGCTTGCATGTGTATAAGTGAATCCCTGTCATGCAACACCTGTGGAGAACAGAAGAGGGCATCAAATCCCCTGGAACTGAAGTTACAGACAGTTGTTGGCTGCCATGTAAGTGCTAGGAACTGAACCTGGGTCCTCTGCAAGAGCAGCCAGGGCTTTTAACTGTTGAGCCATCTCTCCAGCCCCCTTATGTTGGTAGTTCTAATAATTTAAAATTTACCCTTGCAGAACTTTTAATTTGGGCAAAATGATATGTGGAATGAGCTTTTTCTTTGCACATTTTATTTCTAAAATTAGACTATGGAAACTAACTAGTGTTTATGTAGAAGAGAAAACCTAAGAAAGAGTGAAATATTTCTTCAGTTACATACTTCCTCTGTCTTAGTAGTCTTAGCAATAATAAATACTTTCTCTGAGAAACAGAATGCTATTGTTGCTGATGTTATCTTTCTTAATGAGTTTGTCCTACATACCATAGATTAAAGCAGCCCCCAGTGAAATGTTCTGAGTCATTGATTGGAAAGCAAGTTCACTGTGCACCAGTAGCCAACTCATTTGAGCTTATGAGGTATGTATCACATGGATTATTGCTTAAATGTAGGCAGTAAGGACAACAGAAGCCTAGGACTTACTGTGAGCCAGTCCGCAAAGGCTTAGGAAAACTGCTCAGGGTGGCCATGTCTACATGTGCCCCTGAGACAGCAGTTTGCCCTTGGTTTCATACTGTGGGAAACACTAGAATTGCTGTGCTAAAGTACTGCAGACATTTTTTTTTTCCTGTGGAAACTATACCAAAGCCCAGGCTGTTCTGGCTAACTCTTCTGCATCTCAGAATGTTCTGCATCATTCCCGGACAATCCACAATTATTCTTGAGAACCACCATCAAGAAAATACTGAGAACTGTCTTGTAGTTAATGGAATATAAATTTTCATTATTATATTAGTGATGCAAATAGAGTTTACTTCTTTTATAAGGAAATAAAGTCTTTCACCCCAATGTCCTCTGCTAATGGCTATAGCAATCTAATGGTGTTCATTACTGCTCATTGTCACTGTCATTGTTGCATGTAGCATGCCAGCAAGGAACAAGGCAAAGACTGTCACATGAGATCATAATCTTTAGCATAAATCAACCAGGCTGACAAAGATTGGGAAGGAATGCAAAGAGTATTTTTGGAAGATGTTCAAAATCCAGTCAGATCAGTAATGCTCTGATTTACTGTGTCTCCTGTCTGCTACTCTCTCATTTAAATGACCTATGCCTCCTTTCTAAAACCAATGCTAGAAAAGATTTCAATCACAGATGACA